GCTGGCCGGGGCACGGGAGAGCGGGAGTGAAATTTCGGGGGCGGGAGAGGCTGGGAACAAAATTTAAAATAAAGCCCACCGATGCACGCCCCGCGCCCGGAGAGAGCGCATGAGGATTTCGACGTCGTCGCGCAGCGCAGCGCTGTCTCCGCTTTTGTAGCGGGTACATTGACCCAAAATTATTTGTTTATTTTAGCAATCAATTTTTGGGCCGTTGACCTCCCGGACAGATTGAATCGACTTGTTTGACTTCGAGCATGCACCCTAATTGATTTAGTTAATTTTTTTTACGCTCCGTACAGCGTACACTCCGTGCGCTCCGTCCCCGACATACATTGAGTTGGCTTGTTCACTCATTCGTTGATCTGTACGTGATTTAACCCGACGAGCGGGCCCACTTCGGGTAAGATTAATTGGCCTCTTGGAGGTGCGTTATAGCAGCTGGGCTTCGTAAAAAAGGAGACTCTTGGGTTATTTGACTGGACGTTATTGTACTCACAATGAGTCGAAGGTTCAGAGGAATGACCTCCGTGTTTTGAGACTGTTGTTTTCCTGCTGGAATATTAACATCTTACCCTCATTGGGGAAAAAAAAAAAAACACATTGGATCTAGAGTCCAGACTCTTAAAAACATCGACAAGAAAAAATACTCTTGATTCAATCAGATTGAAGCTTAAATCAAGAACCAAGCCTCTTAATTTGAGCGGATTTCCTTTTGATTTAAGCTTAAATCTAAGTTAAAGCTAAGTTAAGACTAAAGTTAAGCTTTGAGCTTAACTTTGAGGTTCTAAACGTAGTTCCATTATGGTTTCCTATAAAATTTTCTGCTCACGGGGAAAAACATTTCGCACGTGGGACCCGAAGTTGAGGTCATATGGATCTCTGAAGTTTTCGGATCACGTATCTAAAAACTTGAGGTCCAGCTGCCGAAGTTCGGGTCAGACATCGAGGCACTTCGGTATGTACCGGAGTACTTCAGATGTGTGACCCGAACCCTTCGGTATATATCGAAGTACTTCAGATGTCTAAGCCGAACTTCGGCAGCTGGACCTCAAGTTTTTAGATACGTGATCCGAAAACTCCAGAGATCCATATGACCTCAACTTCGGGTCCCACGCACGAAGTTTTTTTTTTTCTGTGTAGAGGCACCCCTTAAAATTTAATATGCGACGAAATAAACATCAAAATTTGCAGCTTTAGTCGAAAATGTCATGTCCGACCTCTCTAATTGACTCGATCCTCTGTGGGGCGTCCTGCTGAAGAGGGGCGCTAAGGGCCTCGAGAGCGATGGACTCGCGGACAAAGGACGGGCGACGGACTCGCCTCGCTAAGTCGGCCTAAATTCCACGCTCGATTTCACTGAAATATTATAGCGCTGAGTAGCAGTGCTGCAGTTTCTCCTCAATATGTTGTTGACCCCTGGTGCGGAGGCGTCGCGGCGCGCTGCGCTGCGCGTCCCGACGTCCAACGTCCCGTCCTAGCGTCCTTCCCACACCACCTCCTCCTAGAACTCGAGACACCCACCAAAAGCCTATGATTCTTTCGTTGAACCATCCGCTACGACTCCGATGGCCTCGCTGCAGTTTGATAAGGCCTTTTCCTCTTGTGGGGTGTTTCGGAAGCCATTGAGGCAGGAAGGTCCATGGCCAAAAGTCACTTTAAAGGAATTCAGTCGGTTACGTATACCGTGAATTGCAGAAATGGAATAGTAGAGGAAAACAGATATGGATCCAAGTGACCTACATATTCGTGATCTACGAACCAAGATTGGTGATCTTAAAAATTCCGAGGTCCAGGTGATACCGTGAAAGAATGCAATAATGTATTTTCTTCGGGAAATAAACTGATTATTGTTTATGTCCGTTTAGTGTGGATCATTACTCACAATTCCTCGCACTCTTTCTCAAATCCGTGCAGAATGAACACTGCACTACTTTAAGAATAAAAATACCATAAATGAACATTCAAATGGAGTAAAATTCAAACTAATTAAGATTTTATTACTTGATATTTAAAACTGAGCAACGGCTTTATTTGAATCGCAAGGGGCTAATTGATCGCTCTCGGGGTGGGCCCGGAGCGTTAGCCAAATCACGTACATTACGTGATTTACACAGATATTAAGGGAAGTTAAAGAAAACTCTACATACAGAATAAGAAAAATCTCACTTCAATACATATATACTAATATACTAATACTAAACAGAGTAAATTTGAAAATGGATCCTTACGAGCGTTTACAAAAATTTACGGTCGCGCTCATGAATGGACATGTTTTTTCGCGCAGCGTTAAACATTCAAACACAGCTGTGTTGTGGGGTTGCATACTCATTATTTTGAAGGTTATTTTTGGAGATGCGATATTAACTGTAACTTTGTCACTTTACGATTAAGTCCATTTATGTTCTTGAATAAAACCTTGCGGTGAATGCTCGTGAGAGGAGGCTCTTGAGCACTTTAAGATAACTCTTAAACATAAAAATTTAGATAAAAATATAACGTATAAAGAACTTAGGAAATTCCTTTGACCTTCTCTTTTTACAAACTTCAAATAAATGAATTCTCAATTCGTCAATCTCGCTCAATCAAATCAACAAATCAAGAGATCTGGTATCAATTATTAGGATCAATATAGTCACATCGTCTCCTAGACGAGGGGATGTAACAAAATTCAAAGGTTACAAAATCGACTCAAAATGATTTAGGTGTTTACGAGAATATGCTTGCGAAATATCCGTCTAAAATTGTCCAAATTTGGACGTGTAATCAGAGAAAAAATTAGGGAAATGTTCAGTCAGAGACGCCCAATTTCTTGTAATATACAACCTGTAACTGGAAATTTTGCAGAGTTGAAAAACATAGTTACGTTTGTTCTACCGCGAATGGAGTTTCCTCCCTCAAAAAATGCACAAAAACATAGCGGGCAATGAGATACTTATTTTACTAATACGGTGCATCGTGAAAATTATCTTCAGATAAAATCCTGCATGATAGCCAAAGCTGCAGCATTATACTGCCAAGCTAAGGAAGAACGCCGTATGAACATTCGCGAGTTGCCACATTTCCCTTGATGAAACTTGTATTTTTGACAACATTCATGCATATATTTCCTTGAAAATTTCAGGTAATTTAGACTGAATTGCGTACAAAATATTCTGAAAATTTTGGAAAATAATATCCGCAATTTTCCCAGTAGATTAGTTTTTTATAAGAGGAAAGTTGGCAAAGTCTGAAGGCTCATACGGCGTTCTTCCTTAGTGCGGCAGTATACCTTTCATTTCAAGTCCAAACACTATTTCAATCACAGAGTCTAA